GGGTCTAAATTTAAGAAAAGAAAGGAGTGGAGAGAGACATTATTATTCATGGGAATGTCTCGTGTCTTGTCTCCTTCCTGTCACCATTATTTTGGTAGCATAGGGAGTGAACCAAGGGCCTTCACATTGAACTGCTTCCCTCAGCTCTTTTAAAATTTTGATACATGATCTCTTTAAGTGGCTAAGATGCACAGCCTGAACTTGAACTTGTGATCCTCATGCCTTAGTTTGCTAGATTACAGATGTATGCCACTGCATCTGGTTTTTGTGCTTTTGAGTCCTGTTCTTAGATTGAACTCTATTCATGTAGCTCTTAACTTGGTACCAAGATCCCTAGTTGTTTATATTCAGCTTTAAGACTTACGTGTATACAGCCTTCCTGGTAATTTATTTCTAAACTTTCAGTTCATTTACCAACCTCTCCCACTCCCTAAAAAATTCTTCCTTATATTCTGAAACAAGGAAATTCCAGAATTTAATATGTATTCTGTAGTGTTGCTGTTCCCATCCATAGGCTAGGCTGTTCTCATCCATAGGATGGGATGTGCTGAAGAGAAGATCCTTTTAGAACCTTGAAGGTACCTGAGTTTGTGCAGTGGGAAAATAAAACTTCCCACCGGACTTTTTGCTTCCTTTATGTATGGTCTCTTTCCCCTTCTCTTTTATAAAGGAAGGGAAAATTAAAATTATGGAACCAGAGAGCATTTTTCTTTACTTTGAAGAGACATATGGGAACATTTTCTCCTGTTAGTTCTGTGCTGTTTGTCATATAGAATTGGAAGGAACTGACCTGTATTTATACTTTTCGACTGATAGAGTCATCTTATCATTTACCTGCAGCAGCACTTACCAGCCATTCTTCAGAATTTCATCCAGTTAGTATGGTATTGTTTTGTAACTTGAGTACCAACCCAAAAGCCAGTTATACAGGCCTTGCCTTAGTGGGATGCATCTGGTGCCTGTGCTTTCCTACTGAGCTCTGAGAAGGGAGGAAGCCAGTGATCTGGTAGGGAAGACAAAGCAGTTGTGGGAAATGGGTGTGGCTGATGGACAGTAAGTCCAGACCAGCTGCTACAAAGGCTCTTGGCAAAAAGGGTAGGGAAATAACAGCACTGCAGGACGGCTGCAAAAGGCAGAGAGGACTAGGTTGCAGGTCTCCTTCTGTTTGGGTTAATCAGTGCCTGCTTTCTGGACTCCTGACTCGAGTACTCTTCTTCACTTGAGGCTCATGGTGGAACCAGATCATGATGATAGGTGTGCTTTACCTGGGGCAGGCAGGTGTGGGTTTGTAACCTCTTGTCTTTCTTGTCTTCTAGGCTTTGGCTGCTCTTGAGTCCATGACACTGAGTAAGCAGTACATCGAATACCAGGATCAGATATTGCAAGCTGCCCAGTTTGTAAAGCATCCTGGTCATTGTCTCCAAGATGGGAAAAACTTCCTGGCCCTTCTTGTTAATTGTCTCTATCCTGAAGTGCATTATTTGGATAACATACGATAGTAATATTAAGGCTCTTGAAAAACCTCATTTTGTTTTTGTTTACATGTAACTTTGCTTTGTAAAAATGATTGCTCAGTTTCACTGCAGAACCTAGTTTAGGCAAGGAGTAGCTGACTAGGAAGCACTAGCTAATTTGGGGGTAGGTATATGTGTGTGTACTTGCATGCATGCTTTTATGTTCTTGTCTCTTAAAATTTTCTGGGGGCTTTTTAGTTATGCTCATCACAAATGAAATTTACTAAGTTCCACTTGAGTACAGAAACCACTAACAGTTGGTCACCTCAGCAGGCCCCAGATAGAGTTCTTAATGTATTTCCACTTCTCTCTCCCATTTTATTTGAACATCAGATTTGACATTTGTGAATCATATAGAGCCCTTTGGTTTGAACCCCATTTATATCTTCCAGTGCTAAAAAGTCAACTTCAGTGATTTCTGCATTTCTCAAATGTGGGGAAGCACATCCTCTTACAATTACTATGTTATTTCCCACAGAAGGGATGTAAAGATGCTGAATTCGTGAAAGCGAAGCATGTGTAAGACATGACACTTCATCCTGATTAGAGTGAACAGCAGAGATGGCAGCATGTCTGTTTCCATTAACAGTGTGTGCTTCTGGAGGAGCCCCTGTCAGAACCAGGGTGGCAAGGCTGGTGCTCTGTGCTGAGCATGCTGTGCACACGTTTTACTTAGTCCACGTGCTAGAGAGTGCAGACGTGCTGACTCCTTCCACCATTGGATCTCTCCATTATTCATACTACTTCTTGGTCTGGTTGATGTTGAAGTTCGCAACCCATGACAGACACTAGGTTTGCAATTCGAATGCCCCACAGTTGAAAGGGAGGCTGGGGACTTGGTTCTCCATTTCCTCGTTTCTTTCCTCCACATTTAAACTCAAATGAAGCTTGAGGACCTCTGAAACACTTGTTCTGGATACGGGGCCAGCTTGGGAGAGTTTGTAAAATTTGACTATTTTGAATACCCATGTGCCTTCTGTCTTTGTTAACCATTCGTTCTTATCAAAGCCTGTCTACAACTTTGCCTCGTACTGTTGCCATCTTCTTGCTCATATTATTTCCCCTAGGAATTAGTAGTTTTCCTTCTGTCAACATATTTGTAATTTTGTCAACTCAAAATGGATTTTTGTTTGTTACATAATGTGTCCGTGTATGTGTTGTTTTTAGTTCAAGAATATTTACTTAAAAATATCTAAAGGATCACCTCCCTCTCTTGGTAGAGAGAGAAGAATGTAGTCATGAGAACGCCACTTTCTTCTCAGATGCCCTTTCAGAGTCTTCCCCCCACAGCTGGAAGTTCGTCGGAACATTTATCAGGCAGAACAGTTCTGCCTCAGACATACCTTGGAGCTCGGACAAAGAATGACTTTTGTAGGCCACAAGACATCATCTCAGAGGGACTTGTGTCATCTTCCCTCATTTTTGTTTCTCTTCCTTTTGAAATCAATCAGCTTCTCCTATGTATAAGAAAATTTTAGAAGCTTTAGACAGTTTAATTGACTGATTTTTGGCAGCCATGATTTTATGACAGGAAATATGTGCTGTTTTCTTTGAGGAAGATGAAATTACTGATATCCTAGAATGTGAAATCTTTGAAGTATGCCCATTTTAAAGAGAATTATGATTAATCTGTTAATTTTTGAAAGTTTATAATATTTATAATGTACTTGATGTATAAAAATTATTAAAAATAAAATCAATCTTTGGTTGTGATGGATATAGATCTGAACTTGAGGAGTGTTCCTGTTGTGAAGATTTGATGCAGATTTTAGTGCTTGAAGTCATCTGATTTATTGTAACTTCATTTTCAGACAGGTTCAGTAAAAGTGTTTCCTCCTTTACTTCTTCACATCCAGTACAGTAGGAAGGTTGTCAGGTCCGAGGTTCCTGGGCTGGGAACATCCTTTCCAGACAATGAGCTGGTTAAGAGCCTGCAGCCTCCAGAAAGGAAGAGCTACAATAGGCCAGCCTGCCCACTGCTCGCCCGAGAATGAGCTTTTGCTTAAAAAGACTCAGCCTCTGGAGTGCACAGGGCTGCGGTTCAGAGGCAGTGACTGGTGCTACATGTGGATATTGGGATCAGGCAAGACTCATAGGCCAAACAGTGTAGAAGGTGGACCACTGCATGCTCGACTCCTTTTCTGTGGCCACCATTGTCTAACGCTTTCTGGGAGAAAGGTGGGGCAGCGTTCAGTCAAGCACCTCTTCTCCAGTCATCATACCTCATCCTGCAGTAGAAACATGGGCAGAGAAGCGGCTTGGATCCCCCCATTTTCTTGCTCTACTTTTAACCAGAACAGTGAAAGACAGAACATAGGGCTTGACAACACAGGGTATTAAGGCAGAGGTCCTGCCACATGTTTCTGCAGTATGAGAGCGAGTAGGGTGGGGACCCATAGTCCTGCAGTTGGTCTCAGCTCCCCAGCCTGGCTGGTTTCTCAGTTTCATGATCAGTGTGTTGGCTCAGCCACCAGATGCCTCTGCCTCCACCTCCCCAAAGTGGTGTCTGAGCCTGTTCTTTGTTGTAGAGGAAATTTAGTGCAGAAAATACAACCCTCAGCCTTGCACTAGCCTTACCTCCCATGTGCCTCATGAGTAATCGCCAAAACCAGTGTGCCTGAGTCCATATCCTTCTATTTGAATGAAGGTAAAACACTTTCGTTCAGTTTTTGTTCTAAAACTTTTTTTGGATCAGGAAGCAAATGTCCTATGATCACAGACATGGTAAAGTGAGAGGGAGCAGGAAACACTTGGAGGCTCCCCTCTCAGAGGAAACCGTTAGTCTCTACTTGGTCAAAGACTTGCGCCCGTAGTCCTGCTTTACGCCAAGCTGAGACGGCTCCTTGCAGTGTTGCTTCTTGGTTGTGGATCTTCTGGAAGCACCCCAGGTGGGAGCTGTTCTTGTACTTCCCTCTCAACAGACATTTCTCTTCTAGTCACATACCTGACCCCAGTTGCCCCCAACCCTTAGCCTTTCCAGGCTAAATGCTCCAAACTCAGTCCTCTTCCACCTAATGTTCAACAGGGCTTCTCTTGGGGAAAAGTGCCTGAATCCCTCCATGTTACTGTGCCAAAGATTACCTGGGTTACGCCTGGAGTGGGACCAATGAAGCATAGAGAGCACAAATACTAAGTCATTTGGAAGTACAAGTGTGTGCTTTCTTGCCTTTTTTCTGCATTTGGTGTCGGTTGCCTTATCCTGGTTCCTGCCCAGGCTTAGTCACGCTTGAATGGTCCCAGCAGTTCGGTTTACTTACTGCTCTGACACTGAGATAGCATCAGCTCTGGTGGTGGAATGTTAAACTGTGGGAAGTTCAAACTCCAGACCTGGGGTTAATACCACTTGCTGGTCTCTGTTGCTGTCTGCATAAGGATTAAAATATTCACTCTGCACTTAATCTTTTACTGCTGTCTCCTCTTCACTATGGACCAATTTTTTTTTTAAATTTTATTTAAGGAGAAAAAAAAAAGCAGAGAAAGGGTACAAGTTATACAGGTTTACAGAAAAAAATAAACAGTAGGAAATCACTAGTTAGTGGATTACATGCTGTCATCTTAGAAATAATTGTTCAAGTCACAAAATTAAAGCTTATAAAGTGGACATTCCAACAATGATACTTCAAACAGTTCTGTTCAATGATCCAATAAAACTCAGTGATATCATTTTCTATCTTATACACTTAAATATACATGCAGTTATATCATTTAGAGCACTTTTCTTTTCCTCTCTTTTGTACAATGACAATTACACATTTTGGGTTTTGTTACTCCCACAGTTCTTATTACTTTTTTGGAAGGGAGTAGAACCAAATGTGACATAACAGAACAGAGTTAATCAAATCAAAAGGGTGGACATAATAGATAATGTAAAAGCATAATACAAGGTGATCAATAATGGGTACCATAATGCCTCCCGCTGTCTCTAATAGAATTGCCTATATCATCAGTTATAATAAAATTGAACAAAACAGTAAAGAACAAAACCGACAAAACCAAAACATTGGAGACATTGTAGGTCTTCAAAAGTAGATAAAAGTCATCAAGAATGGGCGTCATAATGAATCTCACTATCTTCACAGCTGTTGCCTAAACTTTCAAACCTGGTACTATCAAGCAAAACAGAATAGGGGGACATCAGTCAAAAACAAGATGGTGAGAGTAATACAGGGCTTTAAATCAAGATAATGGAAAGTCAGTGGGTTACTATACTATATCCTGCTATTTTTATTTATTTTTCCCTTAATTAAAAGGATAAAAATAAAAAAAAAATGGAGTGGAGATTGAGATAAAAGGGGGCATAACAGCAAAACAGCGCAGATCAAAACATAACCATTTAAGCAGAATAGTGTTTCACCACAAGATAATCCTGACATAAAAGTAGTTACCATTATTGTCTCTTTCCTTGAAATCCTTGAGTACAACTTCGTATACTATAGCATTAAATATATCAAAACAATGTAAAACCATTTAAGAGAATGACGGCATTACAGGGTATTTAGAATCAACTAACAGAAAATGAACAATGGTTTCTGTATAATCTTGTCTTTAAAAGTTTTTGCTTATACTATCATACATAATAAAATCCAATAAGATACAACCTGTTTAGACCAATGGAGACAGAAGAACAAAAGCTTGATGAGACTTCAAAACAAGATGATACTAAATCAGTATTACCTATTAATATGTCATTTTCTCCAAAATAGCTGTTCCTATCATCCAATCTTCTCTGCCTCATTTCTGTTGAGCTCTTTTTCTGTCATTAGTTGTCAGTTTGTCTTCTTCATTTTGTTCTCTGCTCCATTCATTGTGGCCTCCCCGCCCCTATTTCTGGATTCTTTGTATTTTTCTTTTTTTAGAATATCCTGCAATACTCTCTGTAGAATTGAATTGGTGGTTGCAAATTCCCCCAGTTCCTCTTTATCCTGGAAGCACCTTGTTTTTTCATCAATTTCCAGGGACAGTTGTGCAGGATATCTCAATCTTGGCTGGAGATTATTATCTTTTAAAGCTTGAATTATTTTCCCCCACGCTCTTTGTGATTTGATGGTTTGTGCAGAGAAATCTGCTGTAATTCTGATGGTTGTTCCCTTGTAAGTGGTCTGTTTCTTGTCTCTGACAGCTTTTAATATTCTGTTCTTGTATTGAATTTCTGGAATTTTTATCATTATATGCCTGGGTGTTGCTCTGTTTGGGTTGTAGGTGGCTGGGGTCCTGTATTCCTCATACATCTGAGTATCTTTACCTTTTGCTAAATTAGGAAAATTCTCCTGGATTATTTCTGTGAGTAGCTTTTGTAGTTCATTTGTTTGTGTCCCTACTTCTTCTTTTATGTTCTTAATTCTTAAGTTATGGATCCTCTTATCATCTTCTTGTCTTTGTATTATTGCTGTTTGTTTCTTTGTTACTTTTAAGAAGTTTTTCATTTCATTCTCCCATATTACAAATCTGCCCTCCAGTTCAGATAGTCTGTCCTTAGTTTCTTTCAAGCTGTTATGCCAGTTTTTGATAGAGTTTTTAGTTTCCTGGTAGTCCCTTTGAACCTGCTTCACGTATTCTATGCTTTCTCTATTTTCTCCATCAAACAATTCTCCCCTCTTTTTCTGTTCTTCCATTCCACCATCCGTTTTTTCTTGGGTGGTGCTTAGCATTTCTCTAACTATTCTGCTTACTTCTAGCTTCAGGTCATTAATAACTTCATTCCTGAACTCTAGATGGCGCTTTATGTCTATTGGTGCGGTGTCCGCTATTACCTGTTTCTCAGGATTAGGGGCTGAGGAGCCTTTCTTGTTGCTTCCTCTTCCCATATTCTTTGTTCCTTATATATGCAAGCTTATATAGGAGGCCCAGCTTCCCTCCCTGTCAGCCACAGCCTGATCGAATTGCGCCGGCTAGGTGTTCCCGCCCACCGCAGCACACCAGGAAATTCCAGACCAGGCAGCCTACGCGGGGCCCGCCCCTCCAGGCCACCCTCAGGCTCTGGGATCTGGGTTGTGCTAGCCTATTGGGTCTCCGCCAGCAGAGTCACATAGGCTAGGCACTTCTCACCAATCCCACTTGAGAGGGGGATCGTGGCTGGAGTCGCTGCAGCACCCCGCTCCCGCAAGTCTGCCCAGTCCCAGAATGTCCTCCGCTGGAGTCAAACTGTGGTAGAGTGTCAGTTTCTCTCACTCACCTCACCACAAGTCAGTGCACGGCTCCCCGCCCGTCCTGCAGAGCTTCCGTGCGTCTCTCTCCTTGCCAAGCCGATGTAGACACAGCCGCCGTGCGGCGGGAAACCCAAATCGTGGCTTCCAATGGCGCGGGCTCCAGCCTCCACACTGAGGCCCCTCTGTTCCTGTTTTAGCACCAGGGCCTCATTCCAAGTTGGTTTCTCTCAGCCCAGTTCGTTCCTGGGTCAGCAGAGCATATCTCCACCTGCTTATGTCTCCTTACTCCGCACCATTCCTGAATTCTGAGCCGAGTCTTTCAGAGAGCCTCCGTAGCTGCTGTTATCTGTCCGCCATGTTCTCCCGGAAGTCCACTATGGACCAATTTTAAAGCTGACTTTAAAGCTGATTGTTATCCTGCTCAATTAGCTTTGTTTTATTAAGTAAAATGGATAATACAGTGTTGGAAAATAAGCACAGTGCTTTACAAGAAAAATTCCCTTTCTGTGATCTTCCATTTGTGTCTGGATCGAGCTGGGTAAAGCTCTTAACAGCGAGGCACTGCTCATCCTTAATTTGCTCTGCTCAGGAGTGATAATGGCTTCTAGAATATGCCTTGGGTATCCTGTCATCTAGAAATTTCCTTCTTTCTGAATGGGTTCCTGATTTCTGATGAGAATAACTTTAAAAATTAATCTACTGATCTTATTCTAGGAAAATGAATTTGTTAAATGTTGATTATAACTTTTTAAATGTCCCAATGTAATATTTTAAACTTTTTTTTCTTTCAGGGTTTTAAAAACCACTCTGTCAGATAAGCGCTTCACTGTGTTCAGACTCTTCCTTCCCACTTATCTCAAAAGACTTTTAAAACCACAACTTTATTTTGATCATTAAATGTGCAATATTTACTTCCTCCTTGTTTAGGTGCTTGTACAAATGATGAATTTTTATTAAGTGATGAGAAACAGGAAGAAATGAGAACTGGTTAAATAAAATTCTGCAAATACACTACATTCAAATTTATCCATGTGCTTGCTTCGGCAGCACATATATAAATTGAATTTACCCCATGATGGACCTTTCTCATTCTTTTGGGCAAATTGGTTAGCAGGTCTCTTTTTCATACATAAATCACACTCAGAAAAATTTTAAATTAGGAAGTTTTTTTAAATTACATTCTATTAGTACATTTTGGATATGTATAATGATCACAATCCCATTCATCATAGAGAATTTATACCTGTACATGATATAACTTGCGTTTTTTGCCCATTCCCCTACTCTTCCCTTCAAGCCTTTCTCCCTTCCCCATTTATAAAGTTTTGTTTCCATGTTTTCCTTCTCATTTGGAAGATTGTAATAGGCAGAAGCTTTTACCACAATGGTAAGAGATAACAGTTCTAAAAGAATTTATACCTGAGGGTTTAAGAGTTGGCATAGACAGCCCACTGGGAAGATCTGGAGAGCTCCAGGCTTATGGGCTGCCCAAAGGCTCTGGGGCCTGGGTGGGGTGGGTGGTGGTGTAGGTGGGCGGAGCTGCCGGCAGGGGGCAGTGTCCCCATTTGTTCAGGGTCTGCTCTGAAAAATCTGTTGGGTTTAATGGAGTTCTTTAATATTTTTCACAAACATCTACAAGACACTCTTTAAATGAGAGAATGGCTGGTGAGCACATTTGTGTTCCTGGGTGTTGGGACAAGAAAATGGAGAGTTCCAACTCTATCTCCATACCACCCTGGGAAGTCTCATCTTGAAAATGCCAAATTTTCTAGGTCATTTCTTGATTCCCTGGCTTCCGGAGAGTTTGTCCAGCTGTAGTGGCTCAAGGGTGTGGACCATGTCTCTGTTCTTGCTTGTAAGCAAGATACACCCCGGAACTCACAGAGACATTGCTCCAAGAGTCCTGGGCCCCAGCCCAGAGCATTCTGGCTCTACAGAAGGTACCCTGCTGCTCCAGCTCTGGCCACACCCTTCCGCTACCCTCCTGCTCTGGCTGCTTCTGGCCACGTTGTGTTTGACCTCTTGCTCTTTGCCCATATTGTCTCTTTGCTTAGAATACTTTTCTTCTCTCCTAACCCCCTCTCTGCCCTTGGCCTCCTGTGTATGAATAGCTGACACATGCTCTCCATATACCTTCTTCCAGGAAGTGTCCTCATGACAGGGAAATTATCCCTCATATGCTCCCTAATTACCTCTACCCATACCTGAATTTCCATTTACCATGTCACTATCTCAGGAGCTTCAAACAGGTCTCACTGTGGAGCCATCAATGCTTCCCAAATGTCCGTGTGTTCCCATCTGAATACCACATGGGGTTTCCCTGTTCAGTTGTTTCTGAGGCAGGACCCATGGCGAGGTCTGTGTTAATGTATGAGCTATGAACACTTGTGGAAAACTCTCTAGAGGAGGGAGGGTAGGGAGGGAGAGGAAGAGAGAGAGAGAGGGAGGATCAAACCCAGAGGCACTCTACCACTGAGCTATATCACAGCCCTTCCTATTATTATTTTTTATTTTGAGACAAGTTTTGCTAAATTGCCAAATTTGGATTTTGCCTTTGCTTCTTGCGTAGTGGGCATTCACAGCCAGCTTCCTCTGGAGGATTCTCCCCCTCAGTCTACAACATAAGAGATGCTGGATTCTGGGACCTAGGTCCCTGAGTAACAATGTGTAAAACCTGCCTGCCAATCTGTGATGGGCCTATAGCATTTGCAAGAAATAAACTCATTGTTTTCAACTGATGGCTTGGGGATCTGTTACGGAAGCACAATCTAGACTACCTTGACTGATATAGGCTACCCCTTCATTTTTGTAGCCTTACACACTGCCCAATTCCTAGCATAAAGCAGATACATAGGCAATAAGTCACATTACAGTTTTTTGGGTTGTGAAACTGACTTCAAAGACTAATCATGTGCTCACTTGGCTCCCAGGCATGCTTCTCCTCTCTCTCTAGTAGGACCAGTAATTTCCCTAAAAGGGAGTGCAGCACCCTACAAAGTTAGCCTCAAGGCACTTGGGCAACTGGGGGGAGTGCCAGTGCATGTAGACATACATCCAGGGAGGATACGGACCACAGATTATAGTCAATTTTATTCACCAAGTCCCACAGCTCCCCTCAAGTCTCCCAGCTTCCAGGCCTTGAGGAAGAAATTTCCAGATGCTTTGAGATAATGGGTCTTTGATTCCTCTTCCTCGTGGTTCCAGCTCAAGACAGTATAAAGAATCTGGGATAGTAAGAGGTGCACAGAAGGTGCACAGTGAAGTAGGAGCTCCTCTTCTTGCTACCAAGTTCGTAGGATTTGATGTTCCTTGGACTTCAGTTTGTACAAACCCAGCCTGTCTTCTCTGAAATACTTTGTTCCTCACAAGCCTGGTACGACTACCAACTTATCCCAAAACTGCATGTCCAAAGCATGTCCAAAGGCCCAAAACAGACAGTCTTGAACATTGCAAAAACCCCATCACATCTACCAGCAAAAGGGGATGTGTCTTATTACTCCCATGATCAATGGTGGATGAACTGAGATCCAGAGAGGTGAAGAAATTATTCCATTCCATATAGCAACTTGGTAGAGCAGGTTGGAGCATGAGCCCCCAGACCCTGTGACCAGTTTCCAGGTTGCTTTACTACAGTGTCCTAGAAAAAGAAGGGTGAGGGAAGCTGTGCAGAAGTTTCATGCTGAGACACCCAAGGGCACCAACTCTGCTGAGGTTGTCAATTTGGCTGGATTACGAGACACTGGGAAAGATGACTGGCTCATGGGGTTACATACATCAACGGACTTACCCACTGATGTTCACAGTGGAATGTGCTGTTAGGAGGTGGGGCCTAGTTCAAGGCCAGGGCTCTGGGGGTGCCTTTGGAGGGTATTCTCTCCTAGTGCTCTTCCTCACTCTACTTGAAGTGAGCGACTTTGCCCCATCACATACTGCTGCCATGATGTTTTTCCCTTGAAGCCAACAGAAGCTGACTCTGGAATTGTGAGCCACATAAATCTCTCCTCTGTAACTTGTGGATGTTGGTTGTTTTGTCCCAGTAACAGAGCTAATGAATAGAGGCATGCGTGCATGCATATGTACACACACACACTTTAAAAATGCTGGCCCCAGTCACACAGAAGTTCAAGTAGGCCCGATGAACCTCTGTGAGCTGGTTCCTGACCGCTGATCACTCAGCTGGGGGCTGCCAAGGTGCCTGGGAACCAGGAAGGGTTGTAGCAGCCAAGCGTTGTCCTGGCCTTCATTTTTCATGGTGCACAAGTGGATGCTGGTGGCTGAGGAGCTCCTTATGGGGAACATGTGGCAGACGGTGGGCTCCGGGAGTTTACCTGGCCCAAATTTTCATAACTGGATTCCTGGGCGTGAGGCCTGCAGACAGGAGAAAGTTGACTAACCAGCCAATATGGAGGGAGATCTCTGATTTCCTAAACTTTACCCTAGCAATAGGCAGAGAGAACAAGAAATGGGGGGGCGATAGGACCAGAACCAAGCGCACATGGGGACTAATTGGACGTTAAGAGGCAGGGAAAGAGTAGGGAAGGGGCTGCTGTAGGTGACAGCATCCTATACCACAGAGTCTCTGTTTCCTAGAAGTGATTTTGTCAGAGGCTTCACAATCCAACTCCATGTCCGTGACTCCCAGACCCATGTATCTGGCCTGACTGCTTTCTAGACTTCTGCATGGGACATAGTAAAGGGAACCTTAGTCCTCCATGTCTACCTTACTGTATGATCCTCCCACTCCACACTCTATTTTCTGCCTTCATCATCCTAGTAAGTAGCCCCAACCTTCATCCTGGGGCATACTGGCTCCCTCCCTCAGCATGAGCTGCCCATTTTGCCCTTGGGTCAGCCCCCTGCCCATCTCCCTATTGCCACCACTAACACCTCTGTCTGAACAGATTCACAGCCTCACAGATCTCTGGATCCTCTGGTCCAGGTGGAGCCACTCATCTGCTTAGACCACCCAGTGAGTTCCTATCACCCTCAGAATAAGCCCACACCTCGGTGGCCCAGGTGCCCACCCCAAGCTCCAGGCCACACCTGACTCCCTCCAGATGCACCTGTGTCTGTCTTCTCGCTTCTTCCCTTCTTGGGGTCTGCCACCCCACACTCAGCCTTGAGCTTCAGGCCCCTCATGCCATGTCCTCACATACAACATCCTGATCCTGAGGTTGCCACAGTCCGTGATCACCCTCTCTTCTAGGGGCTCTGTTTCATCACTTCCTTTGCATCTTTTATAATCTAAGATGATATTTTTTTCTGTGTTTATTAAATTTTTCACTGGAAAGTTCAGAGATTTTTCTGCCTCTCATGTATCCAATCCAATGACTGCTACATAGAAAGTACTCGAAACTTTTAAATGTCTAAAAACAGTCAGCTTTCTGATTCAGAGGCCTTGGTGTGACAGCAAATTACACAGAAAAGGAACATGTGGCAAGTTATGGAGACTGTGGAGACGCTGAGCTGGAGAGAAGGCCAGGCTTCTCTCAGCCCCTCCCCAGAAGCATCAGGTACAGAGCAGCCAGGGTCCAGAGCTGGTTTCTTTTTCTTTTAGTATGGCACTGGCCTTCATTTAGGCAGACATCATGGGGAAGGAGGGCATGGCTTTCCTGTCAGTGGCTTCTCAGTTGAAGTCCACAGGCCTCTCATCAACCCAAGCCTTTGGAACCTGTGGTGAGACTTTGGGAACATTTTAGCAGTGCCTGGAAGAATGAATGGCCCCATGGTGGCTTCTGTGTGGGACTTGTTGTTTCTAGAATGCTGGGGACTACAAGAAGAAACATCTGGGCAGGGCATGTGGTGCACACCTATAATGCCAGCACTTGGGAGCCTGGGGCTGGAGGATCACTGTGAGTTTGAGGCCAGCCCAGCTACATAAGTGAGCTCAAGGCACACCAGCCTGCCCTATGAACTGAGACCCTGTCTTGAGGAAGAAGAAAATGGTGGAGGAAGAGGAGAAAGAGGCAAGGAATCAGGGGGAGGAGAATGAAGAGAAGGAGAAGGAAAAAAAGATAGAGAAGAAGGGGAGGAATAAACATCTGGAAGAGAGATGGTATCACAGTCCTAGAATTACCCCTCAGCACGACAAATAGGCCCTGCGCATTAGCAGTATAAATGAACATGGTTTGTCCAGGGAAGGGGGTGTTGGACTGAGGGGGGCTGCCATGGCAAGAAGAGCCTGGCTCTGCCCTGTGCCTCTTCTTTCTCCTGCCACCAGTTGTGAGAAGCCTGTATCCCTTAGCCGATGGGACTGGGTACAAGTGAGTTGGGAGTGACCATACTTACCTCGGATGGGTGTCCTGGGTGGCTGGGAGCTCTGTGAGAAGAACCGAGAGAGGAACAAGTTTGCACGTAAGTTTCCACATACATGTCTACTGCCACTGCCCACCCCACTGTGAAAAAGGGCCCCAGGGAAGCATGCAACAGACTGAAGGCAGCAGGCTCTACAGAAGTGACACTGAGGCCTCCACCCGAAAGTGGACTAGAAGCTAATGAGCACAGGTGGAATCAACACCACCTTTCTGAGGACCCTCAAGCACAAAAGCTTGGGAAGTTTGAAGAACCAGCGCAAAGGCCAGGGTGGCCAAAGTAATGGTGGCAATCATGAGCACCATGACAAATTCTGGTTTCAATCCTGGAGAGTTTGACGCTACTGCTATGACCTGGGAGGACTGGACACTCCGGGAAGTCCTTCCCGCTTTGGGACACACAGTAAATTTGTCATGCAGTTCACTGACGGAAGGGTGTGGCAGTTCTCTAAGGACACCCTTTGTGCTCACGCTGCCACACTTTTGCCCATGCTGGGCTTTCTGCTAGGTGCACCTCCGGCTCCTTGTGCCCCAGTTCACGTGTACTTGCTTCTGTACTGTGGAGGTCTCCACTCTGGTCCCAGCAAAGTATGTCAGCCCATTCTCTGCCATCTAGTTTCTGAAGTCTAGGGGGTTCCCTTGGTGGCTTGCTAACTCATGATCTGCTAACTCAGTTGGAGGGTAGGGAACCCAGTCTCAGACATCTCAGTATTCCGAGGAGCACCGCAGCACAAAGTTTGAGGCTTGTAACACAGGAATGCTGGCCCCGGGGAAAGCCTGAGAGCCCTTAGGAGCACTTTCATGGGGAAAAGGGTTTGCTCCAGAGCGTGGACTCTGATTCCCTGCTCCAGGGAGAAGAATGAGCTGATGTACAGGTGTAAAAGGACGTTCCGATCCATCATGCTGGATGTGAGGGTGGGCAGCTACATGGCCTTAGGTGAGAGGAGAACCCGGCCGGCCTACCCCTCACACCTCACACCCACACAGGTTTGGGGAGCACCCACCTAAGCGGCGGCGGGCAGCGCCCACGGCTAGAGCGCCAAGCAGCAGGAGCGCCTTGAGCCCCAGCGAACCAAGCAGGAGCGCGATCGCTGAGCCCCCACTGGCGCCGTGGAAGTGGAACAAGTAGACGCTGGCCTCTGCGCGACCTAGGCTGTTGGAGGCCGTGCAGGTGTAGCGGCCGTCACGGGTCAGCGCGGGCAGCTCGACGGTCACCTGGTGGCCGTGCCCTTGGCCCCGCAAGGTGGCAGAACTATTGCCCAGGGTCGGGATGGACCAGGTGAGGTCAGGAGGAGGCTCCCCTTCGGCTGTGCAGAGGGCCCGGAAGGCGTGCGCCGGGCCAGGCAATACGGAGATATTGACGATCCGCGGAGCGGCTGCTGGGGGGAAGGCGGGCAGCAGTCACTGAGCAGCGAACAAGGCAGGGGAGGGTGAAAAAGCGGGTGCAGAGAGCGAGCACCGGCCAAAGGCAAGGGGTGCCCTTCCCCTATGCGCTTCGCAGGAGCTGGCAGGGGCTCAGAGAGGAGGGGGTGGGCATGTGGGTGCCAGGCTGCCTAGGTCCCCAAGCAAGTGGGGCTTTGAGCAAACCATTCTGCCTTTCTATTCCTCAGTTTCCCCACGGGTGAAATGGAAATCACAGCAGCCCTTACCCCATAGAGTTGTTGAGAAAACTTGGCAAATTAATCCCAGTGGGGCGCTTGGAGTAGGGCCTGACCCCACAGCAGGTGCTCCCTAAAGGATCATTATTGTCGTGTCGCACAGTTGGTCCCCGAGCAGAGAGCCACTTCCTGGAGGGCCTGGGACCCTGGCTTCAGGATCGTCATATCTTAGGGTCTAGTACGCGCCCAGTGTCCTGTGCGCCCCGCTGAGGACTGTGGGCGCTCGCTGCACACCTGCTGGCGGCCCTTGTCACATTCGGGGTCGGTCGTTCACCCGTTTTACCCTCACCTTGGCCTGCGGTTACTGGGGTCAGCCCCGGTCTATGGGCTGCATCATAAAGGCCTATTCCCGCCCCGCTCCGGCCCAGCTCTTTCCGTGACCAAGCTCAGGTTTGAGACCCGCGGGGGAGCGGAGGGGTAAGTTCTCGTGGATTTCCTATGGCGGAAGCGGTCCCGGCTCAGCCCCGGGCCTGGGCCTGGGAGGGCGGGAGAGGTTCGGCCCGGCCCGCCTCACCGGTCACGCGCAGCCGGACGCCGTGGCGGCTTTCATAGCGGTCGTGGATGTCGCCGGCGAACTCAACGCGGCAGAAGTAGCGGCCCTCGTCGGCCAGGGCGAGGCGCTCGACGCGCAGGGACAGGTCGTTGCGGCGCGGGTTCCCCAGCAGGCGGAAGCGGCCGTGCAGGCTCAGCGCCGTCTGGCAGAGCTCGCTGCCGCGCGCCGCCGAGCACCGGAACACCTGCGGGCCCGCGTAGGGCGCCCCCGCGCGCCAGATGGCCGTCAGCGGCCCCTCGTAGTGGCGGTGCGGGTGCGTGAAGGTGCAGGGCAGCACCGCCGCCTCGCCTGCCGCCGCGCTCACCTCGGCCGGCACCTGCATGGACCAGCGCTGCGCCGGCGCGCCTGGGGGGGGGGGGCGAGGGGCGGGCGTCAGGCCGGGTCTGCGGACCCCGGGGGTGAGGTGGGGTGGGGATGGGATGGGACTCAGGAACCCCCCTGGGGTGGGTGTGTGGAAACCCCGAGGCTCAGGACAACCCCAATATCTACTTCCTCACTTAAGAAAAAGCTCCGCACCCTGTGCTCCCACTAGTGGAGGTGGTGGTCCTGGAAATTTCTCCCTGTTCCATGGGGCTCTTTGCCTCGGTCGGGGAATTTGGCCGCATCTGCAGGCCTAGTGAGTCCATAGTCTTCCCTTTAGCTTTGCCTCATCAAATCCTGCCGTGCTGTTGTGAAAAGTGCCTGGTATTCTGTGGCTACAACACTCTCAGGATTCCCAAGAACATGGTAAGAAAGTCACTTACTGTGCATCTCTGTGTTGAGAGAATTTCCAGTAGTATCTCTTTTAGTTCTTACAAGTGATCCTAGAGGTAAGCATAGTTATCCCCTGTTACATGTTAATAAACTGAGGCACAGAGAATTTGAGTAATTGTCTGAGGTCACACAGCTAGGCTGAGGCAAAGCTGATCTTCAAATACAGACTCCCTCTCTTCCTTATCTACAGGAAACCTTGCATTCATTTGAGGTCAGCAACATTCCCACTTACAGAAGGGAAACTGAGGCCAGGGAAGGGACAATGTTTTAAAGCTAATATTTTGAGTTGATGAATGAGAATCCAAGTCAACCCAAATAGACTGCCTTGGTTAACTTCCCAAAACTCTAGGGCCCAGGCAGGGTGCTGAGAGGGCAGAGTGCTGGGCTCCTGATGTGTGCAGGCAGGTGACTCTGGACTCAGTTGCCCCTCCTCCACTCTGTAAACCACTGCAAAATGTTGAGAGCAGGTCTGGAAGCTGAGTTCTGCCTACAGCTCCTCCCGGCCATTGAACCACAGGACTCCATGTTATTGCTGCTTTAGAGGTGGGTTACACTGGCAGTGGTGCCCCTATAAGGAAAGCTTGCCACAAGGCTTGGCAGTGCTGCTAAGCCTGTCCGGCCAGTGCCCTGGGTTGTGTAGGGAGGGGGCAGTGCACAAAAGAGATCTTTGGGGGGAAATAACACCAGACACAGCAGTTATGCAGCGCTTTCCTGTAGACCATGTTGTGTGACCCTCAGAGCACTCCAGAGAAAAAGGTGAGGTAGATATTGTTATAAATAAGGAAATAATGATCTAGGTTCATGCAGGTAGAAAGTAGGAAAGTCTCAATTTTTCTGATTCCAAACCCAGTGCTTTTTGCTCCATGAAGGATGTAGCCTGATTCACTCCCCTGGTGGAGATACCCTCAACTCAGCACCAGCAGACCATCCACCTGTGAATAATCCACAGGGCAGAACATTTGTCCTGCATGGAACCAGTGTTTGTCGTTGCTGGATAGAGCATGCAAATCCTCTTCCATAGCGGGCATCCCACAACCCCACGGTGGCTCTCCTGAATCCATTCATCATCCCATTCTTTTTCTGGTGGAAAGTCACATCTCACCTGCCCCACCCCTGTCCTCTCCTTCAGTGCAGTGTCCTGGCCCCGGTGACTCCAGGTGTGCTGCACCTGCAGAAAGGCATGAGTCCCATAGAGCTGCCCAGACTGTGGGAGCCGTGCCTCCAATAAAATCCTGCTGTGGGCTCACATCCAACCTGCCATCTGGTAATTTCACCAGTTCTGTTTTCATAACAATCTGTTTTTAGGGCTAATCGCTTCTGTTCTGGATGAGTAAAATTATTTTTATGAACTCAAGTAGAGGACTTGACACCTATTCCTAGTAAGAACTTGTGTGTTTGGTTGTTAATAGTCAAAGAGCCTTTTTGCTAATTCAAGGTTGTTCCAGTTTGGTCAGTATATCCAGCTACTGAAAGCACCTCTCCAGTTTCAAGGTTCATATTCTGCCTCAGTTTCCCTGCCACTTCCCACCCTTGTAACCTTAGCTGCTCAGATCTCTTGCACCCTGCTGGTATCACAGAGCCAGGCACTGATTCCCTGTGTTTGCTGTGTGTTCATCAATTCAGCATTTGTTGTACTCTTTCCTACTCCACACCAAGCTCAGGCACCATGAGCTTCAGGGACAAAGATGGACAGGATACCTTATCAGCCTGCTGGAACTCACAGCTCAGAAAGGCAGGCAGCTCTGTGAACACATAGGTACACTGCTGTCCACGATGGATGTGAACAATATTGCTCTGTCTGAACATGGTTCCTGGCCCATTTCACTAACCAGCTTCCTCCCATCCATTCTCAGTGTTCTACTGAGTTGTCCCTACATCAGGAGGTCTTCCATGAACCCCATGTGTGGCTCTGACATCTCTGGACGTCAGAGTTCTAGACACACTAGAACACACTAGTTCTTAATAAGGCTGGAATATGCACTTCCAAATCTGGATATTGCCTATCTGTGCTCTTAGAGAAGGGCACAAACTGTGTCTGTGTTGCTGTTGCTTGGGTACCGTGTCTACCTCCTAGTAATTGATGTTGAACTGAATTGCTATGAGACAGCAAAAAGGAGGGTCAGGCTTCCGGGAGAGGGTGGAGTAAGTGGAGAGAGATGTGTAGACACTGGGCAGGCAGGGATTGGAGGATCCATGAAAAAAGGTGTGGGCTTCCTGTTCACCTGCTGAGTGGGACTCAGAGAGGCAGGCAGTGGACTCCCTTTTACACAGAGATCTTTGGATGAGCCTGCCCAGGTGACTTAAGGTGAGGGTGAGGGTGAGAATTGCCCACGGAACAAAGACATTTGCTTTGGCAAAGGCCCAAACTCCCTAGCATCCGGTAATATTTAGCATTGCCTCTGGCAGCTCCTGCCTATCTGCTGAGAGAGCAGAGATGATGCCTGAACAGGAACCGTAGCCCCTCTCTTCAGGGTCTCTAGTCTGTCTGCCTCTTGTCTGTCAGCTTCCAAGGGTCAACAGGAGGTGCAAAGCCTGCCCACTTTGGCATAGATGACTTAGGCAACTCTCATCAGGCCTCATCTGTGTCCAGCACTGGTCCAGGTTCCTTCATGAACTGGGCGATCTTTAAGTGAATTACTATTATGGCAGGTCTCAGATGCCTCTGCTGTGAAATAGGGAGCTATAGGCTTCCTTATATGAGAGAGGACTGAATGGAACATTGGTAGATAACCCTGCTGTTCCTCTGCACAGAACATGTTCTTCTTAGGTCCCTTACCAGTCCTGTGATTGGGGTATGGGGTGAGCAGAGGGATAAGTGACTTCTAACCAGCAAGGAAGAGATGCCCAGGCAATGGACCAGCAGGTGTTCACACCTACACCAAATCCTTGGCAGCTGCATGGGGAATTTTAGATCAACTGAAGCAAAATAGTCAGGTTCTTTCCCTTAGCTCACCTGCAAATTAATCATTTACTTATCATGCTATAGATGTTTCTTCAGAGTTTACTATTCATACAGCCCCAGGGTCAATGCTCCCCTCAATACATTGACAATTTGGTCAGTGCTCTGCCACTGCTTTTTTTTTTTTTTTAAAGATGGGGCTCTCCTTAAGTTGTCCAGGCTGTGCTTGAACTTGTAGTTCTCTTGTGTTAGGTTCCTGAGCAGCTGGGGTTAGAGTTATGGACGGATATGCCCAGCTATTGTTTTTAAATTATACACAGTTCTATTCTAACAAGTTTATTTAGTTTTCTGGCCAGGGAAATAACTTCAGAGAAACTGGAAAGTGATTTCTGTCTGTAGGGCCATTGAAGGCAGCAAGAAGAAACAACAGATGACAATCACTCAAAATAATGTAATGACGGCTCAGAGCAAGCATGATAAAAGTGTGGGGTCAGTGGACCACTCAGAGAAGGACTAAACCCAGACAGCCCAAATTGCTATGACACACAGCAGGCTGGTGGGACAGGTGCTCACAGTGATGGTCTGAGCCACCACAAAACTTGATGTCCCAAGAGGTGTCCTGTTCAGCGATACATCCTGTGGATGGCATGTCAGGGTCTGGTAGGTGCCATCCCTGGCTCAGAAGCTGATTTGGCGGCCTCAGGTAAGTCTTCATAGGTCTCTGGCCTCAGCAGTCTCACCCATAGAATGTTTCTAGATGTTTTCTAGAGTGACTTTTCAGTTTATAAATCTATGTCTGAAAACTAAATTTGGATAAACATGGAAATATAAAGACTGATCTATGACCAGTTAAATTAAAGCCTTTGGGATACTTAAAAGTAAGCCACCAGCTAGCTGGAAAATGCATACACTGGCAAAGATGTACCCATGTCGTGACCCTCCATCCCAGCCAGTCACTAAAGCACTGTGGCTCTTGGCCGCCTCGCCTCCTGCTGATCTAAATGGAATAGGGCATCTCTGCATGAGTTCCAACAGATCATACTCTTGATGTTAGGAAGGAGTTGATCTGATGCCCCAAACCCCCTCATTGGCTTTACAAGATCTCCCTGTGGGTCTTCAGGTTGTCAGCAGGGCGGGGACTAGAGAGGTGAGGAGGGAGGAAAGAGCTACGGCAGGAGTTCCATCCCTCAGTGTGAACCAGAGGCCGAAGGTTCCCGAAGTGTGAGTGTGAGGGAATGTGGGGAAAGGCTGG